CACATTTGCATGTGGGAATACATGTATGCACATATACACTATATATATATATATATATATATATATATATATATATATATATTATATATGTAGAAATTTTTTTCTGACTTTTGTGTTATAAGCAATGGAAATCTGGTAAAAATAGAGAGTTAGTATGCAATGTATTAGATAAGAAGTTCGAAGATTCTGGTCAAGAAACATGTGATGCCAAGGAGTTTGCCACAGGGGTATATTATGTGACCAGCCTAGCCTGTCACTGAAAGGAAGCAGGCCCACCTGGAGAGTCCTAAGAGAAGTGGTATCTGTCATGTTGAACCACACGTGCTAGCCCCTGACTTTATGTACAGCTGACTTCTGCAGAGATATAATATGCATGAACCAATTTCCCATTCATTCAGATTATTTCACTTAACATAATATCATGCTAAGTGTATGCATGGTATTCCAGCAGTGTCTTTATCTTCATCTGCCTCTTAAATCATTAGATTGTGTCTAGTTTTTAATGTAACAAATTAAGGCAAATTGATTTTTACGTATACTATGCACATCTAGAAAATTTGGCTGCTTTTCTCAGATTGCTCATTTTAGAGACAGAAATCATAATAGACCAAATCTTGCTACAACTTTGTAAGAAAGGAATGCTTTTGTTTATATAGACCTCTTCCATATACAAATACTGTACACATGTGCAGTGTTATTAACAGTGCTGGTATCCTGATTGCCATCTTTAGCAGACACTTTCAAATTTATATCTTTTCAATGCAAGACGCCCATGAGAAATCATAACTGATACATGTCAAGTAACTTAGAGATGAGGCAATGATAACAATGTAAGTATCTTGCTGTACTGTATTGCATGTATGTGGGAACTATTGGCATACTATCCCCAATTTTTCTTTGCAAAGAATTTCTGTCAGCTCTTGCAACAGAGAACTCAAAACCCACTTGATTCACAGGTCGCTCCTCTCTACTCAGCCAGATCTAGCTACATGTCAAAATTCCTCAGGCCACTCTTTATAATTATGAATTTGCTATTAAAATTATACAAGGTACATGAATTCTAGCATTGTTGTTTATATTCCAAACTGTAAACTTTACAATTGTATTGACTGCTGCAATGAGAGAGACTCTGGTCTCTATTTAGATTCTTGAGCAGAATTAATTACATTTAGACTAAATGCTTTGCTGTTAATATATCAGCAGAGGATTAATCAGAATCAGTGTTAGTATTATATATCTGTGTATCTGATATGTATGTATTTATAGCACTTTAGTATAAGAAATTGACTCTTGTCATTAGAGAGGCTGAGAAGTCCCCAGATCTGCCATCTCATGCTGCTCCAGTCCACTGCCAAGAGTCAGTGGCATAGCTCTAGTTAAAGGCTTAGCCTGGGAAGAGCCAACATTTCAATTCAAGTCTGAAGGCAAGGAAGAGAACCATGTCCTCGCCCAAAGTCAGGCAAGAGGAACCCTTTTCTCCCCTCTCAACAAAGGGTTGTTCCCTAAGATGATCCTCAATAGATAGGATCAGGCCTGCTCACATCTGCTTACTCAGTCCACTAAGCCAAACATAGATCTCATTCAGAAACACAGGGCACACCCAGAATAAGCTCTGACCATTGTCCAGGTGCCCTAAGCTCCTCATGTTGACACACAATTAACCATCATAGCCAAAACATAGGATCCATGCTTAAATGTAGCTAATAGCGAAGTTATTTAAGTTGTATTCTCTCTTCAATGATGAATTTAACTTTCAGCACATACACAACATAAAATAGAACCGTTCATTTTACATAGAATCTTAGTCAATGTTCTATTACTGTGAAGAGACACTGTGACCATGATAATGAAGGAACCGGCTTCCCTTTTGGCAGCCATAACAGTCAAACATGTGCTTCTATGACCTTGCCCTAGACACTAGAAAGTCAGATTCCTGTCTTGTGACAAGGAACCAATCAGAAGTTAGCTGGTGGTGCTATGCTTTACGACCCTGGGTGTGTTTTACGGACAAGCGCACAGCAAGGATGCAGAGAGCATAGCAACCACCCTGGGAGGGCCTATGAGCCATAACAACCAGTTGACCAATCAACACAGGGCAAGCCCTCCAAGCCTGGAGGCACACCAATCGTGAGCCTGTGCGTACCCCTAGACACTCCCCTTACGCTGCCCTATAAAGATCTGTACGCAGCGGCTTCAAACGGTCTTTTCTAGCTGTCCGCCATGGCGGGTGGGGGAAAGACCCCAGCTAACATGGGGTTAGCTCGTTAAATTACAATAAAGCCTCGTGCAGTTTGCAGCAAGCTCTCGAATCCGCCTGGTGATTGGCGTGACCGAGAACGTGGCCTGGGACCCCGAATACTTGAGTTTTCAGGGGTCTAACAATAACACCTATAAAGGCGAAGCATTTAATTGAGACTGGCTTACAGTTTCAGAGATTTAGTCCGTGTTCATCATGGAAGGGAACATGGTGGTGTGTGGGCTGACATGGTGCTGGAGAAGTTGTGAGTTCCACATCCAGATCCACAGGCAACAGGAAGAGAGAGACTAAGGGGGTGGAATGGCTTTTTGAAACCTGAAAGCCCAGCCCCAACAGGGCGAAGCATATTCTAACAAGGTCATACCTCCTAATCCTTTCAAATTAGTGTCACTCCCTGTGGTAACCAAGCATTCAAGCCTATGTGGGTCATTCTTATTCAAACTACAACACATGGGAATTTTTTGTTTTGTAGGATTCACCTAAATGGTCATAAATATCTTTGAACAGTACTTTATGATGTCTATCACACACACACACACACACACACACACACACACACACACACCCCATTATTTTATATGAACTCTTGTAGTAAATATAAAAGCATATCATTTTATTATTATCCTTCATAATTTTAAGATGTCAACAGATCTGACCTGAGAACAGGGACATTTAGATTTTAATACTAATACCCCAAAAGGAAAATTATTTAAGTAGCAGCATTTTTCCTGATGGCCATTGCATGTATTTCAAAAGCCAAAGATAGTGGGTCACTGGCTTTAATTGATGAGGTAAAGTATGTATAGTGATCAAAAGAACTAAGGCTACTATAATCGTGAAGAAAATTTACCTGTTACTGCAGGGGACATTATTGTTATTCTTTTGTTTAAAAAGAAGAAAAGAGAAATGCTGAGACAGACATATTGACTATAAGTTTATTATAAGGCCCAGCAGAGTAGGGAGACTAAGA